GCTTTAAATGCCTTCAGACAAAAGCATCCGTAGGCTATTATTAGAAAATGTTATCATCTAAGTGATGGAAGGATAAAGCCTAAATAGCATCATTAAATTGTAGTATATCTATTCTAAGGTCATAGCACATCCCATATAAACAGGTAGGAAACAGATAAGAAATGATGTTCCACTCATTTGCAAAAATATATTTAAAAGCATGTTTTTTTATGCTTACGCTACATACACACACATTAAGAAAAAAAAACTGTGTCAACTTTCACAGTGAGGGATCCAAAAATAGCCCCTTTTCCAACTGGGGATAACATTTGTAGGCACACAAAAGCCCATGATAATCTTTCAATTTTATGGAAGAACAAAGCAATTAAAACAGAAAACACAATGGAACAATCTGTGACAGTGTAAGTGCCCAGAGTGAAACAAAGGGACTTAGGACACTACGTGGCACAACAAATAAAGACTGTGATAGGATAGCATTTTGGGGTCTGAAGTCCCCACACAATGTGCTCCCACACTGTTGTGTTTTAATTGCACTGAAGTGTCTTCATGGTAGAAAACTCTGACCTGGATTTCTGACCTTGTCTATCACTTTGAAGCCTGCTGATGAGGTCATAAACTGTCTGGAAAGTGCTTCGTGTATCAGCAGCATAACAATTGATCCGCAGCATTTTGTTGTGATGAGTGCGTGATATGACAAATTAAAAGAAAGTTATTCCAATAAAACAGTCATATTTTCAGACTAGAAAGACTGACTCCCTTTTGTGAACAATTTCATGATGACAAAACCAATATGGACCACTGTGTCGGAGTTTCACTAGATTTACCCTCGAGTAGGTACATTGTGCGTCATCATAGAGGATCACACTGGTATTTATTATATTACAAGAAAATTTTTTTGAAGCCTGAAACACATGACTACAAAAATCCCATCAAAGCATATTTAAGCAATTTAAACACATTCTTCATTTTTTTGACTTAATTAATACTGACATATATTCACTCACCTGCCATATTCAGCTGCAGCCTTCCTTTCTTATACATGTTTAACAAACTAATGCGTTACTGAGGACACACATCAGTGCCTGTATTCTCCCTCTAAATATGGATGGCAGTCACAGATGTTGCTCTAACTCCCCCTCTGACTCTCCGTTCTCTTTGTCTGCCTCCTTTTTCACTTGCTTACTGCTAAGATGCACATAAATGCACATAAAAACTAGCAAGTTCAAATTACCCTCGTCAAAAAATATGTATATAAACAAAAGAAATGTGTGTTTAATGCAAAAGATTTTCTCAAATAATGCAGATATCACAATACTCAGACCTTGTGTTAAACGCAGAGGTAATTTTTGAATATTGTGGCGTATATTACCTTTTTCTGTCTAAGAAATGGTAACCAGTGGTACCCTTGAATTTCGTAATTGTATGCATTCTACCTCATTTTTTGTGACAGCACTTCAAAGCCTCAGATGTTCAAGAGCTTTATAACACACATACGAAATGAGCAAGGATTGCAATTTGGCAACTCAGTACTGTGACAACTGCTCACAATTAAGCCACCGAAGTAGTGTCCCAGTAAATGACTTTTCGTCAACCCGTAACGAGCAATACCAAATACCAATGCAACAGACACACCAGCAAGATGTTTAATAAATAAAACTTCTTGTGCCTTCTTTCACATGTATTCTATACTCCACATCACTGCATTATTTGAGCAACACTTAAGACGAGGAGGGCCTGCTGCTAGAGAAAACATTGCATTGGATTTTAGAAGCTTCATTTCATGCTGAATCTACACTGATCGGCCAATAAAAAGCAGTCACACACTCACATATTTCATTTGATCATGGCCAGCATTCATCAAGGCATCATTTCAATAAGCTTATGCAATGTCACAACACCTATTTCCACCTAGAGCTGTGTTACTTTCATGCCTTGTATTGGCGATGGGCTTGACAGTCTGCTAAATCTTCTCTAGCAAATCCCAAAGATTCTTAGAGGGGTTAAAGTCTGTACTCTGCGGTGGCCAGTCCCTGTTGGAAAATGATGTCTCGTGTTCATTGAATTGCTCTTTCATGTTTTAACCCAATGAATCCTGGTACTGTCATCCAGGAAAATGTCTTTGTTATCGGGGAAGAACAAAAACCACTGATGGAAAAACTTGGTCATTCAGTATATTGAGGGAGTCAGCTGACCTCATTTTTTTGGGGTGATTTGACTTCGCTGAAACTAGCTCTCTGATCCAAAGCAGGGCTCTTACTTTCCGACCTTTCTGACTTTTGTTTTTGGCTTTGGAGTGTATTTTACAACCACAAACATTTTCCACATGTGAAAGTGAAGCAGAGGGCAAAGCAGGACTTTTTAAATCATGCCCTTGACATCAACCATCTGATGTTTGGAGCAAGCTATAAGAACTTTAAAATAAAAGGAACTTCATTGGCTGCACGGGACAATCTTATGTCTGGATATTCAGCTCAGCAGGCTGCAACAAGAGGGCACTTCATCACCTGAGCTGCTGCATCACTAGATCAAGAAACCAATCATTAGCAGTTCAGAACTGGGTTTGTGTTGCGCAGATGAAGATTCTGATGATGCCTGCTCTTTGGTGTACATTATGGACCACACAGTTAGCAATTTGAGTAAATGTCACAAGTAACCACAGCCATGCCTGCCAAAAAACTAAGACTGGGATTCCCCTGTGCCCTAGGATTGACACCTGCCAGAAAGTCTAACAAACTTACCAGCCAAAAGAAAACAAAAATGGCCAAAATTTGGCAAGTACCTTATTGTGCATGGTCATTAATTAGGGAATCTTAAAACCCCCTGTGACTTGATTTGATCTTGACCATTTTTTTTAAAGGAGGAAACTGTAGGAGCACTGAAAGCTGGTTCACTGCCAGAGTCAATGACATGTTCATTTTTCAGCCTGGAGAATTTTATTGCATAGGTTCTCCTGTATGAACTTGCTATGTGAAATGAATTAGCAGCACGCAGAGAATGTGGGTTAGAGTTAATTCCAGTTCGCGCACGACCCAGAGCTGAAGGGCTGCCGGTGACCTAACCGGTGTCATCAACGTCCAAGGCAAAGGAGCACACTTGATAAGCTCTGTTTACTGTAGCCCACACGTGGCTTTCACACCTCTGCGGCCATGCAGTGGGAGAAAAAAGAATTAAAGTTGAAACAGCTTCCTAATCACTAGCGCTAACGGCAGCGCATCATCCACAACAAAATGAACACGCACGTTGTCACCGGAGCCCCCCTTCTTTTTTTTCCACAAAAGAGCACATCCACGAGCTAAAAAGGGACAGAAAATCGCCAATGGACACACTGACACGGAAACGAGCAAAGTACGGGTTTTTTAAACAGCTCTCTGAACAAAACTTGTGTTTGGACTCAAAGCCATTCACTTGTACACGCATGCAGTCTGTGAAAGAAAAGGCAGCCCACAGAAACCATGCAGCAGCGTTTTCATCGTGCCCCCAAATCAGGATGAATGTGAGGACAGCTGTGGGGGGGAGAGATTAAAAAAAAACTACAACCCTTTGCCACCTTTAAGACTGCAGGTCGTACAAAAAAAAATAATAGCATGACTCTGCTTATTGCACCCCACCCCTCCTCTCCGGTCTCAGGAACGCAGGACAAGCCCTTTTCCCCGCATTCAAGGCGTAGCGGCGCAAAATTATCTGAAGGACACCCCGCCTCTCCCCTTTCCCTCACCTGGTATATCGTCTTCAAAATCCATGTCGTCTTGTCCCTCGTCTTCATTGCTCAGCGACCCCGGCATCTTTATCTCATAGCCCCCAAACCCCTTTTAGGCTGGGAATACTGAAAGTTAACCCTCCAGACGCCGCAGCACAGTCTCTTTCTTCACCCAAAAAGAATAGTATTCGTCGCTGTGAAAAATGTAAGATTTTTTTTTTATTTCTGTGCAACGAACATGGGGCTTTCTCTCCACGAGTAAAATAAAAAAAATTTTTAAAAAAAAATAAATATATATATTCCAATGATCTCTATCCAGGTCTTCCAGTCTGAAAAATAAGAAAGACAAAAATGGAACACACATGCCCAGATTGTGACGTCTGGTCTGTTGCCATGACGATGCATCCCATAATTTCACCCACAACTAGTTAGTCATACTCTCCTAGTTACCACTTCAACTAGTAGCGTGCAAAAAAAATGCACATCGAGCGCCGTGTGCTGCTAATAGACGGATGCACTCCCCGCGCCTGTCCATTTCCTTTTGGAAGTCCGGAGAATTGACAGAAACTTCTCCCACTTTCTCGCACAGCTGCTGCTCTATTCACTCACAAGCTCCACTCCAAAGTGTGTCTGCAGGTGGAAACACAGCATTGCTTTCTATTTTGAAGCCAAACCGTTTGTGTAAACGGACGTTTTGGTTGATTTGGACGTCAATTAAGGCATAAAACCCCCAACTAACTATCACCCGACTCGATTTCATCTTGCAAGCGACCACACTGTCCTGACAAAGCACACACAAGTGCAGGCTGATGACTGCAAGCTGTGAGGAGTCCTGACTGCCAGTGGTCTAACTGTTGTCAAGGTTACCACAGCTGTATCACAGGATGCCCCACAGAGAGCTGAGCAGAGGAAGTATCAGCTTCAGCGTCACTTTATCTTTTATCAAAATATACAAATGAAAGGCTGAGAGTTCCAGCTCATCCCACATCCTGCAGGATTTTAGGGGGGTGGGGGCAAATCACACAATGCAAATAAACATTTTTGTAACCAGGTGACAAAAAAAGCACCATCCCACATCAGAATAAAGAACCAGAAAACATTCCTAAATCTAAAAATGTCAGGTTTATATGCAATTTACACATGCAAAATTGTCATCATGCATCTAAATAGCAAGGATTATTTTTGAAAAACGCTAAATGAAATCAGAGTGCACAGTCACATGTTCTTATCTCTGTTTTTATCGTCTGTGTGGGATCCAGATAACATACTCAAACCAAATGTTTCCAAATAAAACAAGACCATGAAGGGTTTTCTCTCTAAGTATTTTATTAAGAGTGGCGTAAGGTTTAATCTTCGTCCTCTTCCTCCTCATCCTGGTTGATCTGGAAGTAGCGCAGCTCGTAGCTCTCCTTGGTGTTAGCTACCACCCGCAGCCAGTCCCTGAGGTTGTTCTTTTTCAGATACTTCTTGGTAAGATACTTCAAGTACCTGAAAATGGAAGCAGAGAGCAGAAGAGTGTGAGTCGATCTGCCCTTAGATTTCACAATTTATATACCGTAAAGCAGCAAAATCCTGCTGTTTTTCTACATTTATATGAAGGTGTAGAAATTGTTAAACATGGCATACAACAGTTAAAACTCTCAGTAGCCCAAATGCACAAAAAAAACAGCTCTGTGCGGTTTTTGCCATAACAGTGACCAGCAGAAAGGTGGGATCACAAAATTAATTTGCTTTAGCATCAGTTCTAACCTAGGAGACCTACACTGGTTATACCAAATGCTTCATTTAAGACTGAGAGTGCCACAGTCCCCCTCTGGTGGTGGTGTTTAAAATTTACTGAACAATTACAGTATGAAGTGGACATGAAGGTGGTTAGGGAAAGTTCCAGAAATACACACAGATCCACGTAGCCCAACATTTAAAAGATGTAGATTAGGTGGACATGTGTATGTTTTGCAACTTTGGTACAGCCGGTTTTAAAAATGAGTTCAAGTACTTTAATGATCAGATGTATAATACACATGCCATTATTATATCTAGGTTATTATACAGTTAATACTGTTTATTGTCCAAATAGAAAATTAGCATCATTATTAAGTGGTGGCTACAGCCTAATAAATATATATAACAAGATAAGATAACCATTTTGGCTGTGCCACTCTAATCAGTTACATTAAGTACTACACTTCACAGTAACATCTGTGTTTCGAAGGTGCTTGAGGCAACTGTTGTTGTAATTTGGCGCTATATAAATAAATCTGAATCGAAATTGAAATAGATCTCACTTTAAGATATTAGTTTTGGTTTTTCTAAATATTTACAAAACTTCAGACAAATCCACAATTAATACAATAATTCTGAAACTCATTATATGATTCGACTGCTTCATGTGTTCACAGAAGAACCTTTAAGCAGCAGGGATGTTTCTTCAGAACTGACTGCCAGAGGACGAGACTTCCACACTAGGCACATGTCACCAGAACCGATACTTATGGTACCTTTCGATGCCGACATTCTAAATACACAATGGTATTTGTATTTTCTTAGTACTGTAGACACAGTATGTAGACAGTATGGTCAAATAATAAATACTAGACTTTGCCTCCTGCACCTGACACGCGACACCCTAGTGAGTACTGACCTTACAAAATTTATGCTACAACCTACCTTTTTTTGTTTTGTTAAATCAACCAACAGGAATGCAGCATGAAATTAGGCACTGATCAATGACAATTTCACACACAAAAGAAAAATGTGGCAGTAAAACTTGTGAAAAAGGTAATGAATTCAAGCATAGAAGAAAATACTGTGCAGTTGGGGCAGCACGAGTACACATTAAAGATGACACACCATAAGAAGAGACCATAGTTGTGTGTCATAGCCTACGATTCAGTCATTTTTTATTGTTATGTCTACACACATCAAACTTGATGTTATGCCCACATTAGGGTGCAGCAGGACCTTGTTGCACAATGTGGCAAGCAATGATGAACTTATCTGATCCCTAAAAATCTTTTGTTTTTTTAAGCATTTTTATGAGATTTCTTGGCTTCTCACATAAGGTAGATACTCTCTAGTGGTGTATCTGTCCAGAGTATTTATTGCCACACTTGTGTGAAACCAGCTCATGTAATACTGGATAAATGTACTTGTGCTGGAACTGGAAAAAAAATCAGATCACAAGCTCTCAAATAAGTGGGAAACCACAAAGACAGCACGATCAGTCAGAAGACACATTCAAGCTGAGTATCAGTAAAATTTTGCAACCACTGTTAAAGTGACAACCAAACACAGCCATATTTGTTTGGAGTCTTCTCATGTCTGTTCATTAAGTCTATTAAAATATTACTGGGGCTGAAATGTCAAATGTGTTTCATTTCCCTCAATATTACATTCAACAGGATTCTGCATACTTCTCTATTCCACACAAACAACAGAGATTTTCTTAAAAACTTAACATTTGTCTTTTTAGACATTGAAGCAAGCACTGTGCACAGTATTTACTGAGGATTGCTGGTATGATGGCAAATGACTATGACCAGTTAAATAATACAATATGGCATAGTTGCACTGTTTTTCTTTTATTTACCTCTTTGAGAAGGGAACTTCAGAGTTCACAGCAATTTTACTCTTGCTCCTCTCAATGGACACCACACCACCACCAAGATTTCCAGCTTTGCCGTTCACCTTGATACGCTCCTGCAGGAACTGCTCCTGCATGTGCAGAGGACACAGCAAGTCACACACAGCAAGCACCAGAAATGAAGGCCTCTTTATGAACTACAGATCAGAGTTTCTTATAAACATATGACTGACATCTGTCTTTTTTTCCCCCTCTCTCTTTTCTTTTAATATCAACTGACTGGATCCTTAATACAGGGCTTTGATTGATGCCCCTTATTTGACAGTAGTGTCTGACACAGAGCATTTGTGTCTGACAGCTGCTACACTGATTACCAGACAAGATGTCATTTCTGTCAGAGGTGATCTACTCACGAAGTTGGCAGCATCCATGATGCCATCCTCAACAGGGTGGGTGCAGTCCAGGGTGAACTTCAGGATCTGCTTCTTCTTCTTCCCACCCGGCTTCTTAACCACCTGCCTCTTCTAACACAAATGGAGAAAGTTGCTTAAACTCGGAAAATCCCCAAAGCGAAGCGTAAGGAAGCAACAATAGTCTTCAGATATCTTTATTAGCGGTTAGTCACAGCGTGTTCAATATGTTCCAGACATTTTATACTAGCATTTCAAGTAAATATCGTAAAAGAATGTTGCAAAAACCACGAACAACTGTTTACGTGCACCCTGTTAACCCTCACGTCGATCGCTGCTAGCTTGCGCTAACAGTTAGCAAAACGTGGTTTGAGACGAAACGTTAAAAAAGGCAAACAAAATCGCACGTGAACACTCGTTTCTTCTATATTACTGTGCACACGTATATACAAGTCTATAAATGGAAAGACAAGCTAAAATAAGTGGCCTGTGTGCACTTTTATTTGGTCGGGCTACTACTCACAATCGGAGCCATGGCTGAAGAATTCAGCGAAAAGGGAAGGAGCAAAGGCTGCACGGGAAATATAAGAGCCGGCCGCAAAATCGATCGCATCGACTTTTCTAGACTCGATTATGTTGCACTACATAGAAAAAAGAAGGTACGAGAAATTGTTAATGCCACTTAAAGTTGCACCAAATGTTAACTTTGTTCAGTGTTCAGTAGTTTGTCAGCTGGAGTGGAACCAGACATAGAGAGAGATTATTGCACTTACAACTATAAAATTCCCGGCTAAAATGTTTAAAGTATAACAGATTTAATGGGCGTTTTAAAACCTTGATGTTGGGCCAAGTAAGCCAATATTTCTTTTTTAAAAATTTTTTGATTTTGATTTTTTTTTTAACTGCCCAGAAAAGTGCATTTCAAGATGGCTGCGAGACGTTACCCTCCTAGCACTTAGCTACACAGCTTCCTATTAAGTGCTGGTTAAGTATGTAGTTTTTGTATTATGTAGTAGGTTTTAAAAGGGAAACATAATTTTTTTTTTAGAAAAGTTGAATAACATCAAACACATATGTAATAACCTAACTAGCATTATGAATTATAAAAGAAAATAATAAAAGATATTCTACCATTATTATTATTACATTATAAATAGTAATAATATTGTAATAGTGTTATGCAGGTTATCAATATACCTTCAAAGGTGCTAGAAGACATTACAATTATTGTGATTACATATTACAATTTTTTATGTGTTTTTGTCATTATACTCTGTCATATGGTTCATAAAATCTATATAAAAGACAGACTGACATGTGTATGTGTGTGTGTGTGTACATACGTTACATTTTGAACCAATAAAACAAGTTATTTATAGGATATATTTCACTGCAAAAGAAAAAAAATAATAATAACAATAATAATATTTTGGCAACAAAAAAGTTTAAAAGACTGTATTCAAGGTACAGTGCAATAAACTAACAGTATTACTAAAAAAAACAAAAAACAAAAAAAAACACAAAACCAAACAAACTCTTGATAGAACTGAGAATTTGTATTTGTGTTTGAAGGCAACCACAAACTTCAAGATTCATTTGATTTGGCTGCCAAATCAAAGAGCAGAGCCAAACTCAGTTAAGATAACAGTATTTGGATGATGACATGCTTCTAGGTGTCAAAATAGATAAATTTGTTACACAGAATGTGGTCCACTTGAGGAAAAAAGTAATTTTGTTAGATGGCATTACAATATATTACAGTTTTTCCTAGTATTTCACTGTCATTATGGAAGGATAATGAAATTATAGCTATACTCCCTCAGATGCTGTGTAAAATTAAAAACACAGATAAACAGACTGATGTATATGTGTATACATATACATAAACATACCTACACATGCAAACATTATTTAAAAACACAACATATATATATATATATACATATATATATATATATATATATATATATATATATATATATATATATATATATATATAAAACAGTTTTGGAGGATGTAAAAAATAAGATTAGCCCCAATGTGCACTATTCTCATGTCTAAACAGTTATTTTTAGACTATATACAGTGGGTAAAGTAAGTATTGAACATGCCACACATATTTCTAAAGGTGCTATTGGGATGAAATTCTTGCCAGATGTCAGTAACAATCCATCCAATCCACACATGCAAAAAAAAAAATAAAAAAAAATCAAAACATAGATGTCTATAAATTAAGTCATGTGTAATAATGAGAAATGACACAGGGAAAAGTACTGAACATGCTTACTGAAATGTATTTAATACCTACTACCTGTATGGAGAAACTAGTTGCAAGCATTGCTCAGGTCTGTTTTTGGCCCATTCTTCCAATATCTATCTATCTATCTATCTATCTATCTATCTATCTATCTATCTATCTATCTATCTATCTATCTATCTATCTATCTATCTATCTATCTATCTATCTATCTATCTATCTATCTATCTATCTATCTATCTATCTATCTATCTATCTATCTATCTATCTATCTATCTATCTATCTACCTACCTACCTACCTACCTACCTACCTACCTACCTACCTACCTACCTACCTACCTACCTACCTACCTACCTACCTACCTATATAAACATGTGGCCTTGGAATAATGCACTTTACTTGAGTCTACAGATTACATGTGGATGAGTAGGTTGTATAAATATATGTACATATTCCAGATGAACACGTGGGATTGAGCAGGAGGACATTAGAAATAGGACAACTGTTGTTACAGTCTGTGTGGGATGGCAATATTAAATTTCCCTTTTGCACTTTGGCAACACGTGGGGGCTGGCATGAGGTGTGTGTGTGCTGTCAGCTGCCTGGCAGACAGAGCCCATCGCCCTACTATTGAAGAGTTTCTGCATTGCTGTCATTCCTGCTGTGGGTAGCTGATAGCACCACTAAAAGGTAAGACAGAGCCACTCTGTGCTTTCCACAGACCGGCCTACTACATTTACAGTAAGTTTAGTTTGATAGTGGATATAATGTTAGTGATGACATCCTATTTTTATGTTATATATTTATGATCTGTGGATTGTGCATAGTCACCGAATTTACAGGCTGGTATTACTTGTCTGACAAGGTAAGCGATAAATGTTGTCCTTGTTTAATTATTCATGATCAAAGTGTTTCATTATCACTCTTGGCCTGGTCTCTGGGGTGTAATTCAGTATCACAGCACTATCGAAAGCTTTTTAAAGTAATGTGATTTTGTAGTCTTAAAAAAAGGCTGTTCCAAGAACAAACTAAAGGATTGTTGTTATTCGTGTACTCTGTTCCCAGATGGCAGGAGGAATCTTCAACAACTTGGGCAGTCTGTGTAAAGTGGATTGTGCTAATGTTCACCCCTTGATGTGTCACCTGTGCCATGAGCAGTACCAGTCCCCATGTTTATTGGACTGCTACCACATCTTTTGTGCCCGCTGCTTGAGAGGTCGGACTATTGACAATCGCCTCAGCTGCCCCCTCTGTGGGTAAGAGAGGGCACTTTTAAGTTCGTCATGGTCAAATTAGACTATGAAAGTATAAGTCAAACATGCTGTTTTAGTATGTGCTTAGGAGACCTGAGCCTCCACATCACACCAAAGTGAATGACTTGTGGTTTTGGTGGCTTAAGACACTGTCATTTTGAATTACAACCTTACACAATTTACAGCAACATTACTTATATTTTGCATTAGAAAGTTGAGTAAAACTGTCAAAATATGATAAAAGCTGGATTCTTATAATAAAATATAACTTTACTTCTTGAAAACACATCTTGGGCAGCGCTGCTCAACAGGATTGGTTCCATGTAAATTGTGCAGGAGACTGAAGAAGAACATCAAGTCTCACTGTTTTGTTTTTTAGGGCGCTGCTATGACCCACTGCTGGCCCGGTGTGGGTAGGGCAGAACTGAGTGGCTGGAGCAGCTGCAGGGTCAACCCAGTCTCTTATTTAGCCCTTGGCCCCAATACGCAAAGGGGCTGCAACTTCCATGAAGCCATGTCACAAAGCAAACAAAGCATACTGGTATTTGGCAGCAGTGCTAACAGCTTAGGACAATCAAAAGAAGTCACATGATAGCAGTCCATTTAATATCTTATTAAGGAATGACCCGTGGTTCACAGTCACCTTCAGATCTGCAGTGTTAACTTTCCCTCATCAAAGCATGGGTCCATAGAAAAGGTCCTCTGATGCACAGTATCAGTCTTATTCTACTGTGTCAGAACGCATACGACTTTGTCTTATCTGAATCAGATATAGTGGTGATGAATTTGAGAGTATTTTAATTATTCTGAGATGCTTTCTACTTTCTTGTAGTTTCAAACCCGGAACTGCTTTAAAAAACCAAAACATTGTATATCAAATTCCTCTGGGTTTATATCTGAATTTATATTGATTCTTTACACATACCCATATTACACTGCCAATGAGGTAGGTGAATTTCTTAAAATACAATTCTCTTGAAAAATTAATGACTGTGGAACCCCGCATCTAACTTCCTCAGAGCTAGTTTAACTGTCATGAGGTGCATCAGATTATATAGTCAACAGTAAAAGTCAAAGTAATACCAACACATATGTTTTTACATATTGGATCTGTTTTTTTACACTAATAACACAGTGGGCACAAAGCCACTCTGCTCTGCTGTCTGAGCTCAGGATACAGGGGCCCACTGTCTGGCAGCTATTTCCATCAGCTAACAGCTGCTCACTCAAGAACCACATAATCTAGGAACTCACAACTCTATTAGTAGAACACAATGGATCCCGGTTGCTATGAAAACTAGATAAAATGTTCATAGTGGAGGCAAGAAGAACAATATTTAAGTCAAACGGGCCTGTGCAGATGTGGTAATATAACAAAAACTGGTTACATGTGGTCGTACAGCACTTGGGTTTCAGTCTGCATGTACAGTGTTTTTATAACCCTCTAACCCAGTTTCCTACACGTGATTCAACCCAGTCCTGTATTTATTTCTTTAAAAACGGGACTGGGTTGAATCACGTGTAGGAAACTGGTTTAGAGGGTTCTAAAAACACTTTATTTAAACAATTAAAAAAAAAAAATCAGTGAAACAAGTTTTGAGGTCTACAACTAGGCTTAAAAAAGTGTATGAAAATAAGACACTTTCTTACCAAGGTAGTGATTTTATTCAGTATTAATTAGATGTAAGGTAATTTAATTGGTTTATAGACAACTAATCGCTCTTCAGTTCAAATTGATTTCTTAATCAAACATAAACACTCCAATTCAACCTTTGAAATTAGAAATTTGCTGCAGTTTCTTCCATGTCAGTTAATACTGGGCTAATAGGATATTTTACGCTGTAAAAAAATAAATATTGATAATCTCTAAACAAATAAGTTTAAAATGTTGTGTTCAAGGTACAATAAATTGAGAACACTACCAAAAAATGAGTGAAGTGAGAATTTGTATTTCAGACTCAAGGCAATGACAAAAAGTAAAATTCAGCTTTCAGAGTCAAATCTGCCAAATCAAAGAGCAGAGCCAAACTGCCAATTAAATACCAGTATTTGGCACACTTACAGGTGTCAAAATAAATATATTTGTCACACAGAAAGTGGCCCACTAAAAGGAAA